GAGGATACCAGAGACCACTTTTCTTTTCTAGGCAAGGAAATGAATCTACTTCTACTAGGACTAACCAACTTTGGGTAACTATCATACAACAGAACAGATGGACCTTCTTTGGATGCTAGGAGAATTTTTTTTTTCATGATTTGAACTCAGGATATTGCATTTGCTAGGCAGACTCTACCACTTGAGCCATACTCTGAAGGAAAAATACTTAAATCTCTTCTGTTCTCTTTTAATTGTGGAATAACTAGGAAATTGTGGTAGTTTAACTCATGTATTTGCTCTGCTGAAAGTCTTATTTGATCTATCATCTCTTTGCAGTAGGACCTTTTCTTTGTTAGAAGTTCTAAACCAGGGAAGAATAAGAACTGATAAATATTCTTTTAAGTCTCTTGACCTATTTCTAGCATCCTGTTTAGGCTATTGATTGGTGTGTTAGTTTTTATCATTGTGATAAAATATCTGAGGGAAAAACAAAACTACTTAAAAGGAAGAGTGGCTGGGAATGTGGCTTAGTGGTAGAGTGCTTGCCTAGCATGCACGAAGCTCTAGGTTCAATTCCTTAGTATCACATAAACAGAAAAAGCTGGAAACAGCGCTGTGGCTCAAGTGGTAGAGTGCTAGCCTTGAGCAAAAAAAGCTCAGGGAGAGTGCCGAGGCCCTGAGTTCAAGCCCAGGACTGGCCAAAAAAAAAAAAAAAAAAGAGGAAGAATTAGCTGGGTGCTAATGCCTTATACCTGTAATCCTAGCTACTCTCTGTGATCTGAGGATCACAGTTGGAAGCCAGCCCAGGCCTGAAAGTGCAGGAGACTCTTTATCTCCAATTAATCTGGAAGTATTACTATAGCTCAAGTGGTGGAGTGCTAAACTTGAGCAAAAGGAGCTTAGGGACTGTGCCCAGGCTAGAGTTCAAGGCCCAGGACCAGCAAGAAAAAAAAAAAGGATGAAGATTTACTTTGGCTTAAAGTTTCAGAGGTTTTAGGCAATGGCCACTGAGCTGTCACTTCTGGCTGGGCCCATGTATTGTCAAACGGACATCACTTCAGGGAGCATAGGTAGGCACTAAAAAATGACAGGAGGTGGGGAGTAGAGGAGGGTTGAAGGGTCCAGGACAAAATATACCCTTCCAGGGAATGCCTTCTCCTGTGGTCAGCTTCTTCCCATTAGGCCAGCAGATTATGAATCCATCCACAAATTAATTCGTTGAGAAACTAAGTGCCCTCAAGATCCAATCACCTCTCAAGAGTACCACCAGCTGGGGACCAAGCTTGGGGACCAAGATACTTTATATCTAAGCCAATAGTTGTAAAACCTATAGTTGATATGCCATCCTGAAAATTCCTGTGGTTTGTGTTGATAGATACCAGCAGTAATATGTACAAGGGAGTGGTTGTTCTTTTTGTTTTGTTTTGTTTCTTTGGGGGCGGGGTCCGGACGTGGGGCCTGAACTCTGGGCCTGGGCGCTGTCCCTCAGCTCTTCAGCTCAAGGTTAGCGCTCTACCACTTGAGCCACAGTGCCACTTCCGGCTTTTTTCTTTTTGCTTATGTGGTGCTAAGGAATCGAACCCAGGGCCTCATGCATGCAAGGCAAGAGCTCTACCACTGAGCCACCTTCCCAGCCTGTGGTTGTTTTTTCTCATGGGTCTCCATGAGACACAGTATACTACTGAAAGCTTTTATAGGTACAACTTATTCTTCCGTCCCAGCAATTATACATCCTACTTGGGGATACCTGTAAAGATGAATGCTGTTGCCAGCTAACAGAAGAACTTGAGTGTTGAGGAATAATCACTGTCAGAAAGGACACTGAAAGACATCTAGAACAGGCCTCTATCCTCACCCTTGTGTGATTCACAACAGTTCTTAGTTGTGGCCCATAAAAATGAAGTGACATTACATGCGGTTCACTGACGATATAGCTACATCTAGCCTGTCGCAATAAGGATTCTGAACATAAGCTGAAGACCTTATAAATCGGAGCCTGGTAATTCCCTGCCTTTTGTACGAAGACAGCACCAAGCCTTATTGTGGGTTCTGGTTGTTCTCTCAGTCCTCAGTGTCAGACTTGGGCAATATCATAGAGATTGGGAGTGGTGGAAGAGGCATGGGGGTGACAGAGACAGAGCTGAGCTCACTTGAGTCATTGCGGTGGTCAGCAGCCCTGAGTACATGACTGACTACCTCTGGCCAGGGCTGATACCTTTTCTGCAGGAATAGTTCCCCTGGCTGAGAAAGAGCTGATACTCTATTTGTTTCCAAGAACAGGGTAGGATCTGAGGGCCTGAGCCTGTAGAAGCAACATGGTATTATCATGGGACATAGCTGCTGGCTCATTCTTTGGGAGTTGCAAGATGCTTGAGGTAAAGTTTTATGGAAGCACATTCTTTTCTTCATCAGAATTCATACTGGCGGGGCATTGGTGGTTCATGCCTGTAATCTAGCTACTCAGGAGGCTGAGATACTAGGATCAGAGCTATCCAAGGAAAGAAAGTCAGCAAGACTCTTATCTCCAGTTAACCACCAGACAATCAGAAGTAGAGCTGTGGCTTGAGGCGGTAGAGCACTAGCCTCAAGAATGGCTTAGGAACAGTGCTCAGACCCTGAGTTCAAGTCCCATGACCAAAAAACAAAAGAATTCATAGCGAAGGGGAGTTTCCCATTCATTGTCTGTTGAATGTATTGGGGTGGGCAGCCCTGATTCTGATGGGGTAGGGACTGTTCTAGCACAGCTTTATCTTGAAAACTGGCTTAAGGGGCTGTAAACACAACTATATAAAGTACTTGAAAAGTTTTGCAGGTAGTGGAAAAACCCTGGAAAGTATTTGGAATAAAGCATAATTATAACTATGCCACAGGATAAAACAAATTGTTCTAGGTCATGCCTGTCCCCTCACTAACAAAATCCTATTAGGTTGCCAGGTATTCTGTAGTAGCCAAAGAAATTGTGGTTTTGAGTTGTTCACTATTTCTAGAAACTTCATAAAGTTAATCCAGAAATAGCAGGGTGGAGACCAAGCTAGGAAGCATGCTATTTTATGGTGCTTTTAGCAAAGGTAAGTATTTGCCTCAGGATCAGAAAATTACCAGCTGCCTCAGAGCTGGGTGGGCAGCTGGAGGAGAACTTGAAGGACAGGACTGATGAGTTGCAGGCATGTTATGTACTTCTAGCTGCTTCTTCTCTCTCATTCAATCCAACAAATATTTCTGAGTACCTGTGTAGACTACCATTAAATATTATCCTCTCTTTGCTAACTGGTTCTTGCAATTCAGTCTTCCTGTTCACAAACTCCTGAACTTAAATCTTCATTCAGTGGCCTTTCTTCTTGATGAACAGTTCATTCCTTTGATCATTGGGTGCTTTAAAAAAAAAATTTAGAAGCCTGGCACCAGTGGCTCACACCTGTAATCTTAGCTACTCAGGCTGAGATCTGAGGATCATGGTTCAAAGCCAGCCCAGGCAGGAAAATCTGTGAGACTCTTTTTTTGTTTTGTTTTGTTTTATTTTGGGTCCTGTCATGGGCCTGAACTCTGAGCCTGGGCGCTGCCCCTCAGCTCTTCAGCTGAAGGCTAGCACTCTATCACTTGAGCTACAGTGCCACTTCCGGCTTTTTTTTTTTTTTTGCTTATGGGTGCTGAGGAATTGAACCCAGGGCCTCAAGCATGCAAGGCAAGTGCTTTACCACTGAGCCACCTTCCCAGCCCTGTGAGACTCTTATCTCCAATAAAAACCACTAGAAAATTGGAAGTGGTGTAGTGACTCAAGTGGTAGAGTGCTGGCCTTGAGCTAAAGAGCTGAGGGACAGTCCCCAAGCCCAGAGTTCAAGTCCCATGACCGACAAAAAAAAAAAAAAATAGAGAGCATTCTTTTCATTCACTTGCTTAAAGGCTAATTTATGGTCCTGTGTTTGGTTTCTGGGTTAAAACACACACACACAAAAAACCAATTCCACCATGAAGCAATCTGTAACCCTCTTCCTATTCTGTATCCTGTGGAGTAGGAAAGCAGTTTTATACCTGTAATCCAGACCGGATTGATGTTTGATCTGGTGCTGTTGTACAACATTTTCCTGAAGCTCAGTGAAACTTAACTATGCTCAATAAAAAAAAAAACAAAACCAAAAACAAACAAACTTTTTTTTGCCAGTCCTGGGCCTTGAACTCAGGGCCTGGGCACTGTCCCTGAGCTGCTTTTGCTAATAGCTAGCTCTCTACCACTTGAGCCACAGCACCATTTCAAGCTTTTTCTGTTTATGTGGTACTGAGGAATCAAACCCAGGGCTTCATGCATGTTAGACAAGCATTGTACCACTAAGCCACATTCCCAGTTTCTCAATGAATTATTTTGGGGGGGGGGCAGGTCAGTTCTGCGTCTTGAACTCTGGGCCTGGGCACTGTCCTTCAGCTCAAGGCTAGCGCTCTACTACTTGAGCCACAGCACCACTTCCCCTTAATGAAATTTTGTAGAGATTAACATATATATATATATATATGTAAAACATATATATATAAAACATATATATATATATCTCATAGCAGGTGAGGAGTAGTCTAGAAGAACTATGAGGATTAGAAAAGCCAGGTACCTGAGATCTGAGGATTGCTATTTGAAGCCAGATTGGACAGGAAAGTCCATGAAACTCTTGCCTCTAATTTACCACCAAAAAACTGGAAGGGGAGCTGTGGCTCAAGTGGTAGAGTGCTAGCCTGAGCAAAAAAGCCCAGGGATAGCACCCAGACCCTGAGTTCAAGCCCCAGGACTGGCACAAAAAGAAAAATAAAACATCTACCACCACCACCAACAAAAAATTTATGCTGAGAATAAATCAGAGTCCAGGATCCTAGTCCTAAATCTGCTACTTTCTAGTGTGTGACTCTCTTTATCTAGCTGTACAGCTGTAGGTGATGGTCTGGCTGATCTCTAAAGACTTAAGCATTTCCAACCCCTTTATATGTACGTATTCAAAAATTATTCTGAGCATTAATATGTTCCCTTTTCCACACAGAGTGAAGGCTGCTCAGACAGAGTTAGGACAGCAAATCTTGGCAGATTTTGAAGAAGCTTTTCCTTCCCAGGGCACCAAGGTATTGTTTTACATTTTCCCTGCAGGCTTTAGATTATCCCCATCTTCTCCATGGTTCATGGTCACTACAGTAGTCCTTTAAGTATATTCCAAAAGTTTGTTGGCAGTGGCAAATCTGTTTCCTGACAGTTGAAGTTAATGAGACCACCCTTTATTTTAAATATCCCAAAGTAATGTCATTTCTGCATCGAAAAATAAGGAATTGTTTTGGTTTAATTTATATATGTCAAACCTTATATTCTGTCTGTCCTATAAAATCTTCTTTTTGCTTTAACACGGCTGTATTTAAATTTTTCAAAAGTCTTCAAGCCACAATGTTTTTTAGGATTGTTATATAACTTACTGGTTTCAGTTTGGTGAAAACTACTGGGAAGAGTATCGGGGGCTTATGTAACTCTCAGATCCACAGGAGAAACTCATTTTTAGTGATCAAAATCCTGTTCTTCAGAATTAATGCCTACTTTGATCACTTGTGGTATGGCTATTTGTGTTTGTTTGCAAAGCCTCAAAGCTTTCATTTGTGAGCTGTTGTTTCTACTTGTCACATCTCTCCTCTCTCTCTCTCTTGGCTGTCACTGTGCTGGGTAACTGCTATTAACTCCATCTTTCACATCCTTGTAGTAGATGTCATTCTAATCCTTCTCATGTGTCAGTGTGGGCAGAAAGCACAGAAGAGTTTCTTCTCTATTCATCAAGCTATTTCAATAGAGAGAACCCTTGAAGGTAGAGGTGAATTGAAGCATCCAGGTCAGCAGCATTCCTCACTCTGTTTTGTGGGTGGAGATGAGGATATATATTCACTTAGGAGCCAAGGCTCATTTCCTGGATCTGCTCTATAATTCAATAACTGGAAATATTTTCAACTAAAAGAAACGTAGGAAGTTGGCGTTGGTGGTTGCTCTAGGTTCAGGAGATTTCTTTCTTTCTTTCTTTTTTTAAATTTTACCAGTCCTGTGGCTTGAACTCAAAGCCTGGACACTGTTCTTGAGTAGCTGCTGCTGCTTCTTCTTCTTTTTTCACTTATGGCTAGCGGTTTACAACTTGAGCCACAGCTCTGCTTCTGGCTTTTTGGTAGTTAATTGGAGATAAGAGTCCTAGCACCCAGCTGGGAGATTATGTTCTATAGGAAACTTGCTCCTGATTTTAATGTCTTCTTATTTTGTGGCTGATCGCTAATAAGCAGGAATTTATTTGTGAAGTACTTTTTTTAAAGAATCTCATCTTCCTGAGTCCCTGGTGTACCTCAGGGAGGGAGTATCTGTTGGAGAACCATTATTTTTTTTGGCCACAGAGAAAACCAAGGTCAGAAAAATAAGGAAGTATTTATTGTAAGTCTGATTGTGACCATTAAGCTCTTCCTAGACCAATCTGCTTTCCTATGCTCTACTACCCCAGACCACTTCAGAAAGTTTCAGAAGATGTGAATGAAGACCATCTTCATTATTTAACCATGGCCTACTTTATAGGTTTTCTCCCAGATCCCACCAAGTCAGGTGAAGTTAAATGCTGTTCTTTAATGCTCTACCTCCCTTTTTTTTTTAAAAAAAAGTTATTTTATTGTAAAGATGATATACACAGGGGTTATAGTTACATAAGTAAGGTAATGAGTACATTTCTTTTTGAATAGTGTTACCCCCTCCCTCATTTTCCTCTGTTTTCCCTCTCCCCTCTTGACTCCCCCGCCCACTTCCCCTTTCTCTTGCTCAGTGACTGACTTTGTTGTTATTGTTGTTAACTTTTCTTAAAGGTTTTGTGTTTCTGTTTGCAAATGGAATCAAGATGCTCAAAATATAGTTCCATCTTTTTCATAAATGAATTTTTTTTGGTCGGTCATGGGGCTTGAACTCTGGGCCTGGGCACTGTCCCTCAGCTCTAGGCCAGTGCTCTACCACTTGAGCCACAGAGCCACTTCCCATTTTCTGGTGGCTAATTGGAGATGAGAATCTCAACAGACTTTCCTGCCCAGGCTGGCTTTGAACTGCAATCCTCAGATCTCAGCCTCCTGAGTAGCTAGGATTACAGGCATGAGCCATTGGTACCTGGCTTCGTAAATGAAATTTTTTAAATTTGTAGGATTTGGCCTCCATGGCTTCTCTATCAGATCAAACAAATGCATCCAGATTCCAGAGCTGAGCAGCCCGTGTGGTAGCCTAAGGTCTACTCAGTCTGGAGCAGGTTGCATGTTAACAGTTAAGGTCTCCAGCAGCTGACCAGACACTTGTGAAACACTTGGGCTTTAATTTAGGTAGGTAACATTAACTAGAATTGGCCAAAATTAATAATAATATTGAAGATTCAGAAGAACCTTATCCTAATTCAATCCCATTATTTTTCAGATGATATTGAGCAACTTCTCCAAAGCTAGGGGACTATTTAGCTCAGTCATGAATAAATTCCAGATGTTCTTTGTATCAGCAAGACCTCATTCACCACATTTATTCATTTGTTCACTTACCATACAGAAAGGCTTAGTGAGATGGAGTTATCTTTGGTTGTAACAGAGACTTCCATCATGATGCATCCTTGCAGCCCCAGTTCTCTACCACTGTTCTTTTCGGTATTACAACTTTGATCAGCTGGGTTGTTGACTATCAGTGAAACAGGCTGATGTTTGAGCATCTGGTTTTTGCTTTGTTTATTTTGTTCTTTTGTGTGTGCCAATCCTGGGGCTTGAACTCAAATCTTGGGCACTGTCCCTGCACTTCTTTGCCTAAGGCTAGTACTCTACCGCTTGAGCCATAGTTCCCACTTCTGGCTGTTTTGGTAGTTTAATTGGTAATCATAGACTTTCCTGCCTGGGCTGGCTTCCAACTGTGATTCTCAAATACTCAACCTCCTGATTAGCTTAGATTACAGGTAGAATGAGTCACTAGTCTCCAGCCTGGTTTTGTTTTAAAGCTAACCACCTTGTTTGAGCTTTTAAGAACAAGAAAGGTAGAGTTTGTTAGGGAAAAGTGGTACAACAGAGTTTCTACACTGCTTCTAGAGCTCTGCTTTTTTAAGCCTCTCTCATTTTTGCTATTCAGATGGCAAGATTTTCTGTGATCCTAGTTGGTCCTGTTTTCTACAATGTCTCACTGCTAATCACAGAGTAATTTTATGTTGGCTACTGTGAGACTATTTTTTTTTTTTTTTTTGGTCCGGTCGTGGGGCCTGAACTCTGGGCCTGGGCGCTGTCCCTCAGCTCTTCAGCTCAAGGCTAGCGCTCTACCACTTGAGCCACAGCGCACTTCCGGCTTTTTTCTTTTTGCTTATGTGGTGCTGAGGAATCGAACCCAGGGCCTCAGGCATGCAAGGCAAGCGCTCTACCACTGAGCCACCTTCCCAGCCCGACACAAAGGTGTAATTGCCTATATGCATCTGATTATATAAAATAATGTTTATTGAAATGAACTCCAGGAAATGGAAATGAGGTCTTTTTCTTTGTTGCTGTTTTTATTTTCTTTCTTTTGGGGGAAGGGCAAGAGGGGTTACAGGAACAGAGGGACAAAGGATGAATGAATGCAGCAGTGATACTCACTAGACACTATGTTGAAAATGAACCATACAACTTGTAGGAGGGAAAAACTGGGAGAGAGCAAGAGAAGGAGTGATATTGTCCAAAAAGAAATGTACTCTTTTTTGTTGTTGTTGTTCAAAGCCAGCCCAGTCAGGAACATCTATGAGACTCTATTTTTTTGTGGGTTGTAGGGCTTGAACTCTGGACTTGGGCATTGTCCCTGTGCTCTTCAGCTCAAGGTAAGCGCTCTACCACTTGAGCCATAGCACCACTTCTGGTTTTCTAGTGGTTTATTGGAGTCTCACAGACTTTCCTGCCCAGGGTGGCTTTGAACCGTGATCCTCAGATCTCAGCCTCCTGAGTAGCTAGGATTACATGTGTGAGCCACTGGTGCTTGGCTAAGAAGAAATGTACTCTTTACCTTACTTATGTACTGTAACTGTGCTGTATGTCATTTTTATAATAATGATTTTTATTTTATTTATTTATTTATATTTTTTGCCAGTCCTGGGCTTGAACTCTGGACCTGGGCACTGCCCCTGTGCTCTTCAGCTCAAGGCGAGCACTCCAGCACTTGAGCCACAGTGCCACTTCTGGCTTTTTCTGTTTATGTGGTGCTGAGGAATTGAAGCCAGGGCCTCATACATGCAAGGCAAGCACTCTACCACTGAGCCACCTTCCCAGCCCTAATAATGATTTTTAGAAATCATTTTAAAATGTTGGTATCTGAATTCAGATATTTACTTATTTATTTAACTTATTATTGGTACTGGGCTTTGAACTAAGGGCCTTCTATTTGCTAGGCAGGCAGCTTTCACTTGAGCCATGGCCCAGTCCTTCCTTGCTTTAGTTATTTGAATAGGGCCTCATGTTTTTGCCTGGGGTCCTCCTATCTATGGCTTCTGGAGTAGCTGGGACCACAGATATGTGCTACCACATTTGTTTTTATTTTTTTTGCTGATAGCAGGGCTTGAATTTAGGGGCCTTGCAATCTCTTGACTTGTTTACTCATGCCTGGCTCTCTACTACCACTCTTACCACCAACCCAGCTTTTGCTGGTTACTTTGGAAGAAGTTTCATGGACTTTTCTTCTGGCTGGCTAGCTTTAAATTGCAATCCCCCAGGTTTCTGCCTCCTTAGTAGCTAGAATTTCAGGCATGAGCCACTAGTGCCCAGCATATATCAGTATATTTGTTAGGATGAAGTCTTGCTAACTTTTTGCCCAAGCCTACCTTGAACTGTGCAATTCCTGATCTCCACCTCTCAAGTAGCTGGAAGAACAGATGTCAGCTACTGTGTCCAGCCTTTCTAATCATTTTAAAGTCCTTTTCTCATTAATCTTTTCTGAAGTATCGGTGAATATAGCCCAGTCACACAATCTCTTTGTATTAAACATTACAGCCCAGCAAGATGAAATCAATGTATCTATGACAAGTGGTGCTGGAACCAAACTGTGTGTGTGTGTGTGTGTGTGTGTGTGTGTGTGTGCAGTTACATTTGATTCAGTTACATTTGATTCTAGGATAATAAGCCCAGAGCTTCAGGTAGACTAGGTAGCTGTCTACCTCTGAGCTATATACCCCACATCAAGTCTTCCACCAAATCACTTAAAGTACCTTCAAGTTGCATGTTTTAAACACATTAGGGATAATATGTTTTAAGTGATATTGGCTTTATTTTTTTAAAAAACAGACTTGACTGTTTAGAGCAATTTTAGAGTAATTTCTAAATTGGGCAGACAGCTGCTGCTACACACAACAGCCTTCCTCCTTTACTCATTTGTTATGATAAAACCTTCACTCTGAGCCCATAGTTTACATTAGGATTCACTTTTGATATTGTGCCTTCTAAGTAGCTATTGTTTTAAGAAATAAGCTATCTTAGACTTAGATTCTCTATATAGTATTTTATGACTATTTATTCAGTTAATTGTAGTTGTCACTTTCTAAATCCCAGTTAGCAAAGGAAAAGTGGATTCCTTAAGAACGTGTTTACTCATTCTCTTTAGTTTTAGACTTGCCAACAGGCATGTGAGAATTCAGGCTGCAGGAGACTGGAGGTTTCCAAAGCCAGCCAGTGATCCCTGTGAGCGCCAGGACCTGCTTTTCTCCAGCAGTGTTGCTGCCAAGCTTTTATTGTTAGAATTTTGGCTCACGTCCTACAGATACATCACTCTCAGATAAACTTAGAGGCTCTTTGTTTGATTTTGCTTTTTATTTGTGTGGGAAGATGATGACAGCTTAGTACTTACCAATAACTCAACCTTGTCACTGTTCCCTAATAATCTACATTCTAAAACAGAACACCTCCATAGTGGCCAACCTTCTACATGTTGACTTTTGAATGGACATTCTGTTGTTCAGGGTTATGTCTAGAGTCCCAATTCCAGGGGAGAAGATGCTGATTAAATTCTGGAAGATGTAGGATTTTGTCCTTCAGAAACTTACAATTTGTGAAATTATATAAGACATAAACATTTTAAAATAATAAGTGCTTCATGTATATCATCAATAAATTACTGAAAGTTTGAAGATATAAATGTAGTAGTAACTGTTAGGTTTTTAAAAAGAGGTAGCCGAGTAAGAACAGCACCAGCACTCACGTGGTATTCAGGTAAGGGGTAGGTTTATTCAGTAGACCTGCTGGGACCAAGCAAGGTTGGCACTCCACATGGCTGGGAAAGGCCTGGAAATGAGAGAGAGCTGGGAAAGAGAGGAAAGAGCTAGAAAAGAGCAGAAAGAGGGGTAAGAACAGTAGCACTCACGTGGTATTCAGGTAAGGGGTAGGTTTATTCAGTAGACCTGCTGGGACCAGGCAAGGTTGGCACTCCACGTGGCTGGCAAAAGAGAGGAAAGAGAGAAAAGAGCTAGAAAAGAGCAGAGAGAGCAAGAAAAGAACAGAGAGAGAGCTAGAAACGAACAGAGAGAGCGCCTGGGCCTGGGCTAGGCCTTATCTAGGGTATGGGTGGGGAAAGGTGTGGCCACATCAAATTCAGATGTGACCTCAGCAGATGCAGATGTGACCTCTTCCAGGTGTCCCAGTTGCCTAGGTAATGCAGGTACTGGGTGGAGACTTTGCTGCGAGGAGGGTGGAGTCTGCTTGCCATCCAGGGGCGGACCTTACAGTAACCATGTTATCAAATTAACATGAAAATCCCTTTTTAACTGGTACATAATTTTACCTTAATTTTTTACTTCCCCCATTCCGCTCCCCCCTCTCCCCACTAGTCCTAGGGCTTGTACTCAGGGCCTGGTCCCTGTCCCTGAGCTTTTTTGCTCAAGGCTAGCATTCTGCCACTTGAGCCACAGCTCTATTTCTTGCTTTTTGGTAGTTAATTGGAGGTAAGTGTTCTATGGACTTTACTATCCAGGCAAGCTTCAAACTGGGATCTTCAGATCTCATTCTCCTGAGTAGGATTACAGGTGTAAGCGACCAGTGACCAGCTTAAAATTCTTATTTACTACATGTATAATAATTATCCCTTATCTATTGTTTCATTTCCAGGGCAGAATTCTACAAATAAACAGTCCATACATTTTAAGATAACATCCATCATAGTATGTTATAATTGTTCTATTTTATTCTGAGCTATTGTTACTATTCTCCTAAAATGCTTATAAATGACAGTTACCATAGATAAATTCATATACAGGAAAAAAACGTACTTGTGGAATCTGATGTGTTTTCATGGTTTCAAGCATGGACTGTGTCTACCTGTCACCTATTTATTTTGTCTTATTTTACATGAATGATCAGTTTGTTTGAAATGTTCTTATCTTTTTATTTTGAAGGGCAGAACTTTCCAAGATCATGCGTACCAGAGCTAAGGAAATTGAAGTGAAGTTGCTTCTTTTTGCAATTCAGAGAACAACTAACTTTGAGGGGTTTCTTGCAAAACGTTTCTCTGGCTGTACCCTAGCCGATGGAACCCTGGTAAGACCTTCCTGAAGTAGCTGGATAGAAAACCAATGTCTGGGGTGGCTGGCCTTTATTTCTGTCCTTTGGAGCTCCAAGATCACAGGCAAACAAGTGGTACTGTTGTATATGATGAATCAAGTAGTTACAAACTTGGATCTGTTCTGAGACACACTGGAGTTCTCACCTGCCCAAGAAATCCCCCAGAGGTTGAAAATACTAAAGTAGTATGGGCAGTAGAGGCCTCTGTTGACAAGGGCAGAGACCATGAAAAACTGATGTGAACTTTGCTTTAGTTTGCAAAGACAATGTTCTTTTGTGGAAAACAGGTAAGGCATTGTCACAGTAGCAGTTGACTGATTGTCAAACTCCCTTTTTCTGAAGGGGCAGAGTGGGAAGTGTTTGTTTCTCAGGGCAGCAGGGCCCCTGTTCATTTTAACTCCTTATACCAGGTACAGGTATCCCAGCAGCTGCTCTGCTCTGGAATGGTGGTGGTTCCTGGTCAGCCAGGAACCCTTGAACCTTTCTCCTCAGTCCTTTCCTGTCTGGTCTTCTGTTTGAAATTCTCTAGCAGAACATTTGTAAATCTCCCTTCCAGTCATTCAAATGCTGTCTCTTCTCCTGTCAAGTTTGTAAGAGAATTGCAGATTATAAATCCTTGATGGGGAAATCCTACTGAGCTCAACTCTCTTTTCACCTCACTCATTTGTCAGCTGTCCTCTCCCAATCATTCACTTTTCTAAGGAAATTCGGACTCTTCCCCAGACTTCTATGTCCAGATGTTATGATCTGCCTCCAGTCTGAGTACCAGCTTCTGACAGTGGGTACCCCATAGCCTTCAAGGATTTTCCGAGGGATGTGTCTCTGTAAAGACAGTAGAACCACTATGGCCTCTTCAACTAGGCAGTCTGGTCTGGCTGTGGGAGATGTTCAGGTTTTTACTATAGCTGATGTTCACCTGAACTTGATCCTGCTGTCACCTCAGTTTGGGCTGCTAGGGGTCACCACAACTCTCAGTGGAAGGCCATGGAGCATCAGTCATATCCATGGACCATGTGTACAGCAGAACATGAGGAAGAGGTCACTGGATTCCCAGTCTAGCTGCCAGCACCTAGCTAAAGACTTGCTTCTTTCTGGCCCCTTGCCTTCTCCTATGCTCATTACATCCAGGATAGACTTTAAAAACATTTTTTTGGCCACCATTTTGTTAGGGCTTCAGAATTGCCTATGACATGAACCAAATTATAACTTGATATACTTTAATATATGCCACATTTTATAGAAAGCTAGCAAATGAATCCGGCAATAAGTCAGCCAGGAAGCCAAGTTGGCCAGACATCCTGCCTTGTTGCTTCTTCCCTGGCCAATACCTGCCCTCAGCACTACTCTCCCTTGCCAGCTTCCCTGTGTCACACAGGACCTTTTAAGCCCTGATGTCTTAGACAGTGGAACAGAGACAATAATCTTGAAAGTGGCTAACTCACCAGAAGCACTTGCCACAGCCCAGCTTCTTCCATCCAAGGGCTGTGAAGCATTGTCTTTGCTCTTTCTTGAGAGTTGCACTTTAGACTTAAGGACAGGCTTGCATTGTCTTTGTTGTACCAGTGCTGTCAAGTTACAGCACATCCTCCATGTCCAACATTGAGGGAGGGAAGGAGAGAGAGAGGGACCTGCCAGGGCTTCTTCCTGTTTCCTCAACTCCTGACCCTGTAGGCAGGATTCAAGGTAGTCTGAAAATTCAAATGCTTTGAAATTAAAAGCAAAAATGTCTGGATGTGACTTAACTATATCCATGTGCATTTTGAGTGACTTGATTATTAGATTGAAGGTGAATAAATTATATTCAACCTTCTGCTGAAAGTAGAGTAGATGAGGTTAGGTTTTTAAGACTGCCTTACTGAACTTGAGAGGGTTTTTTTTTTATTTCACCCCCCCCCTTTTTTTAATAGAACAATTTTTTCCCATTGCATGCTATGGAATTTTCTTTCCTCTTGGCCAGTGCACAGGTTTCCTGTCCAAACAAAATTGTCATTGGACTTAAAGAGATCATCTTAATATTCATGTTTACTAGCCTGGTTTTTATTTATTTATTTTTGTCAGTTATGGGGCTTGAACTCAGGGTCTGGGCAATGTCCTTGAGCTCTTTCACTCAAGACTAGGGCTCTATTACTTTGAGCTACAGCTCCACTTCTGGTTTTCTGGTGATTGATTGGAGATGAGTCTCATAGACTTTCCTGCCTATTCTGGCTTTGCACCATGATCCTCAAATCTCAGTCTCCTGAGTAGCTAGGATTATAGAGGTGAACTACCAATGTTGGCTACTAGCCTGGTTTTAAAAATTATAGGGAAGCTGCAAGAGCAATTTTCTGTTTTGTTTTGTTTTTGAGACAAGATCTTCCTATATAGCCCAAGCTGGCCTCAAACTTGTAATCCTCCTGCTTCAATCTCCTGAGTGCTTAGGACTACAGGCCAGTTTACAGTTCCCAACCATGCAATTTGAGCACAAGAACATTTACTTATGAAAGCCTGTACAGAGCATCTCACCCCATACCTCAGTTATCTTACCCACTCAGCAAGTACATTAGGGTAATGGTTTTAAAAAAAAAAAAAGAGGGGCTGGGAAGGTGGCTTAGTGGTAGAGTGCTTGCCTTGCATGCATGAGGCCCTGGTTCAATTCCTCAGCACTACATAAGCAGAAAAAAAAAAGCCAGAAGTGGTGCTGTGGCTCAAGTGGTAGAGTGCTGTCCTTGAGCTGAAGGGCTCAGGGACAGCTCCCAGGCCCAGAGTTCAGGCCCCATGACCAGCAAAAAATAAATTAATTAAATAAATTAAAAATAAATAAATAAATAAAAAAGAAGTGGGACTTTCCCAAGATTTCTTTCTTTTTTTTTTTTTCTTTTTTGGGTCTAGTCGTGGGGCCTGAACTCTGGGCCTGGGCACTGACCCTCAGCTCTTCAGCCTAAGGTTAGCACTCTACCACTTGAGCCACAGCGCCACTTCCGCCTTTTTTTTTCTTTTTGCTTATGTGGTGCTGAGGAATCGAACCCAGGACCTCAGGCATGGAAGGCAATCGCTCTTCCACTGAGCCACCTTCCCAGCCCTTTCCCAAGATTTCTGTTTTGAATAAAGGAATATCTCTCCCTTACCCATTGAATTTCCTATAAGTGGGATTTTTTTTTAGGGGGAGGTAGGGATAGTACTGAAGTTTGAGCTCAAGGTCTCACACTTGGTAGGTAAGTTCTCTACCACTTGAGCAAACCTTTTTTTGAGGCCAGTCTCAGATCTCCATTCTCCTATCTATGTCTCCTGTATAGCTGGGATTACAGATGTGCATCACCATGCCCAACTTATTTATCAAGATGAGGGTCTTGCTTACTTTTTGTTCAGGCTGGCCTGGAACTGATATCCTCCTGATTCCCACTTCCTTTGTAGCTGGGATTAAAGGCATGAACTGGCCAGTGTGAAATATTTTATAAATGGCTTTTTGATGCTAAAGGAATTTCTTATTTTATTTTTCTAAGGGGAAATTAACTTCTATTTTTTTCCTAATGAGAAAGCAATCCATAGTTAAGAAAGAAAAATTTGAAAACTTATAGGCAAAAATAGAGAAGCAGGAAAAAAAGGGCATTTGTTTTCCTATCAGAAATGAGGATTTTGTTTTGTTTTTTAATACATTTTAGACAGTTGGGGTTTGAACTCAAGGCCCCATGCCTGCTGGACAGGCAGTCTACTGCTTGAGGCTTTCCAAACCTAGACATTGTATTTTAAATACATTTTTCCTGAACTTGTTTTAATTTTTAAGTGGAGATATAATTTCCATAACAAAATTTCACATACAAAAATCTCATGTTTTCAAGTGTACAATGTAGGGATTTTAGTATATTTACAAGGTTATGCCCTCACGTCAACAGTATAATCCCAGGACATTTCCTTTAACCAAAAAGAAGTTCCCGGTAACACTTGCTTCCTCTATCTCTGGGAAACCACTGTCCTATTTTTTAATTCAGTTTTACCTGTTCTGGATATGTCACATAAGTGGAATCATACCATGTTTGTCTTTTGTACCTGGCCTCCATCACTGAGTACAGTGTTTTTTTTTGAAGACTGTCTGTGTTTGTTATTTGTCAATACCTCATTCCTTTTTATGGCTGAATAATATCCTATCAAATGGATATGCCACATTTTATCTCTTTATCAGCTAGTGAACAGTTGGATTATTCCCACTTTTTTGTTGGTTTGGTTTGGTTTGCTTTGTTTTTGTTTTGAGACAGGAGCTCCCTGTATAGCCCAGGTTGACTTCAAATTCACAATCCTCCAGCCTCTACTTCCTCGGTGTTAAGATTACAGGTATATGCTACCATGTCTAGTTGTTTCTACTTCTTAACTACTGCAAATGTTAGTGCATATGTTTTTAGGTAAACATGTTTTGTGAGGATATACCTCAGAGTGTAATATGACAACTCTAGGATTAACTTTTTGAGGAACTGCAACACTTTTGTACATTTCTACCTGCAAAGCAGTTGAGTTCCAGTTTCTCCACATTCTTAACAACACTTGTTATTTTCCTTTTCTTAAGTTACAGCTATGCTCATCATGTAAAGTAGTATCTCACTGGGATTTTAATTTGCTTTTTCCTAATGATCTGTGACACTGCACATCTCTTCATATGAGTGGGTCATTTGTGCATGCTTGGTCGATAGAATCTTCATCAAGCTCCTAGCCCATTTTTTAAAATTGTTTTTATTCATTCGATCATTTATTTACTAATGGATTGAGAGATTCATTGCAGTGCTAGGGACTGAACTAAGGTAAGTACAATATCACGTGAACCATGGCCTTAGTCTTTTTCTTTTTAGTCTGTCTTTCAGGTAGGGTCTTATATTAACTTTGCCTGCACTAACCTTGAACTCCAGTCCCTCTATTTAGGCCTCTCATATAGCTGGTACCATAGGTATGCTCCACCAAGGCTGGCCTTTTTTTTTTTTTTTTGGTCGGTTCTGGGGCTTGAACTCAGGGCT